CCCCCCCCCCCCCCCCGCCCCCTCCCCCGCCGCTCCCTTCCCCGTCTCTCCCCTCCTCCTCCCCGCCCCCGCCCCGCCGCCCGGCCTCCGCCGCCCCGCGCCGCGCCGCGCCGCAGGAAGCGCAGGGCGGTGCGGGCGGGCGCGGCAAACGCGAGCGATCGGGCGGGCGACCTCCGTCGGCGCCACCGTCCCTCCTCGCCGCGTCACGGGTGGCGCCAGGCCCGGCCGGGGCGGGCCCGGGGCAGGTGTGCTGCTCCGTGAGGGGTCAGGGCCCACCAGTGCGGCCGGGCGCAGCCTTCATCCCCTTGGGATGCGGAGGGAGCCCCGGGAGGAGGCCAGCGGGGTTCGGGGAGTCAGTGGCCCGGGGAGCGCCCCCACTGCGTGAGGGGCCAGGACTGCTGCGGCCTGGCGAGCTGGTTGCCACCGGGATTCACCCGTGACCAGGAGGAGTGGGGTCATGGCAGCCCCGCCGGCCTCCTGTGGGCCCCGAGCCCACAAGGTGCAGACTTTCTGGAGGCTGGTGAAATCCCCGTGTCAGCATCCGTACATCCAGCCCTTCTCTCCCGCTCCGCAGCCATCCGGCCCCTGTGCCCACCTGGAGCTGAAACCCCATCGAGAAGCCGCTGTGCCACCCATCCATCCGCTCATGTCCAGCCGTCACTGGGTCCTCGCAACACAACCGATGACCTCATGTACATAAAATTAGAACCATACACGCATTTTTGTCTTTGAGGAGTTGCTAGTGTTTACATGGCAGCAGCTTGTGCTATACAACCAGCCACAAACCCTTCACCAAATTCTAAAAATAATCTGTAAAAATAACCCCCCACTCCTCTGCATCAAAAACAAAAGAAAAATGATGTGTCTGAATTTCCATTGCAATATTTGGACATTTTTGTAGTTGAGGCTGTAAACACGGCACGGATTCTGAAAGACCTTCCTTATGAGAAATACTTTGGAAGGCACTCGATGGTTTGTATGTCTATTTCCAGAAAGCCTTTATGTGCTTGTGACAGGGCATGGATTGTTATTTATTACTTATAGATAACATAAATATATGTGTGTGCCTATATTTATAGGTAAACACACTACATCAAGTATATTTAGTTCTGGCTATGTTAGTTCAGGTGTGATTCAAGAAGTGCCCCTGGGTCCTCAGCACCGGTCCGCTGACAGGGGAGTTTTCCAGATGTTTGGGCAAACAGCTCTTCCTCTGCAGCTGGTGCAGGCAGAGAACATCCCCTTGTTGTGCGAGCAGGGCCTGGGCTCGCTCTTTGCACACTCAGCATCACATTGCTCCCAGCATGCATGATTTGTCTGTCTGGAATGACAGAGGTTCCCAGCTAGTCCTCGGCCCAACGCTTCCCAAATCCTTTGCAAGGGCCTTTGTGAACTCCCAGACCTCTCCTCACACAGCTGGCACTGCTGACTCTAAGAGAAATTTCAGGATCCTTCATTTTTCCTGGAACGAAACACCCCAAGATTGGGTTTACTCGGGGTAAGCAGCCATGGTCTAGCCAGCATGCCAAAACAAGTTTGTTGACAAACTGGATATTAACCCAGTTTGGTTGCTTAGCTCATCAAAATGCATTCACTTTTATCCCAAATAAGAACAAGGCTGTGTCTAGGGCTCTGCGTGGGGCCTGACTCTGCAACCATTACTTGGTCCCACTGTTGTCAGCCCGTCGTGGTATGGGTTTGTGTGTGCGCTTGTGGTCAGAGAAGAAAGGAGCGTAAACTCAAATGTCTTCTAAATGTGCTTAGTCGCACCACTGACTAAGGGAAAGCTTAGAAAGACTTCCTGACTTAGAATTTGAATATGTTTTGGTCAGTAATTCGTAGGAAAATGCTGGTTCATCAGAAATTAAAAGTGTAAAATTGTAATAATTCATGTTACCTGAAGATCTGTTTTGCAGTTGTTTTGGCCATGGGTGTTACAGTTATCACCTTCTTTCCATGTCAATAAGGTCACTCATTCATTTAATAGCTTGGCTTAATTTTGTTTGGTTATTACTACAGGCCTCTTGTCTTCCCTGAGTGAGAAGATGCAGGGACAACAACTGAGGAGCTGCGTGGACATGAAGGTGACCACAGAGATGGTCCTACTGACCCCTGGGTGCTCTTCAGAGAGGCAAAACAGAAGGTGGGCAATGGGCTGAGCACAAAAACGGTCTGGAATGAGTATGCTCTAAACTGTATGAGATCTGGACTAGAATATGCAGGAGGTTATTGCTGCCTCAAGCGGCGTTAGTCCTGCTTGGTGCCTGGTGCGAGTGGAAGAGCACCAGGTAGGCTCAGATGGTGGCTGCAGAGAGGACAAACAGTAGGCAGTGGTGGGAAGGCTGTTGTTTTGGGCAGGCAGGAGCCAGCCACAGCGTTTTGCTTGGGATCTACATTAAGAGAGACTGGAGGAACCCTTGGCTCCTCATGTCAGAAGTGAAAAGGACTCGTGTCAATAGAAAGCTCTAGGTAGTGGTTGTGATCTTGTACCCTGAGCTCCAGGAAACCTGCCCAGGCCCCAGCTTGAGCCTGGGCAAGCACCCCGTTGTTTTGTTCCCAGCTGGTTTTTCAGGCAGAGAGAGAGGATGCAGTGTGAGACTTAAGCTTTTACACCAGTATTATTCTGAAATGCACTCACTCTCTGCATTTTTGCCAGAAATGACATGTTTATTTATGACTAGACAACTTTGTTTCGTGAGGAAGCTGAGGTGTCAGTCATCTTTGTCGGCACCCGTCCTTCCCAAGGAGAGCTCCTGCCATGAGTCAGCTGCAGCTTCCCAGCACACAGCACATCGCTGCTTCGTGCCTTGTAGAAGCCAAGCCCACATGCCTCCTCCTCCAGCCGGCTGGTGCTGAGGCCCACTGTGCTCTTTCTTTGCAGGGATATGCTGAGTGGGAGCCACCCCGAAACCCCGGTCCCTCCAGCCTGGCTTCCAGGCTTTGGCGCTTCCTCTGCACCCACCTCTGGAGGTCCGCGATTTGTTTAATGACCGGCTTGAACTCCAGTGCTGGAAAGATGAGCATCACACCACTTTCACCTGAATCCCACCCACTGCTGTAGCAGCGATTTCAGACACTAATTTGGATGAAACCTTTTCCCGCAATTTTCAAATTTAATTCTCAACAGTGAAAGGGTGGGAAGTTCAGAAATGACAGAGGAACAAGTGACCACTAAGAAGTGAATAAAATAGAGCAAAATTTTGGTCTTTATTGCCTTTCATTGCACCAGGATATCTACTATAGTGTGGAAAACGAGATGAAAGACCTGGCAAAAATGTAAGAGTAATAGACCTCCAGCCGCATGTAATAAGGCTGCAATAGCATTAAGGACTCCTGGGGTCATTACAAACTACTAGTACAGGGCTCCGTGGGTTATTTACTTTCATGAGGGACACAGGACAAAATTATATGTAGTCTGAATATATGTAGACTTTGTAAGTATATTATTAGTTACAGTCAAGATTCTGTCTTTGCCATAAGAATCATTAGGAAGTACAGTCTTGGTGAAAAGTTAAATAATGTATAACTTGCCCTAAATACTTTAAGCCCCCAAGCCAGTAAGCATTTGTTTGTTGGTTGGGTTTTGGGTTTTTTTTCTTTCATTTTTTGAAGATTTTTATAGTTTTGATGCCATTATGAGGAACTGCCATTGGAATGTCCATGTAAGAACTTCACATGAAAACAGTAAATAAAAGCAGTGTTTGTCGCTGATCAGCCTGGATGTCTGGGAGGAGTAGAATAAAGTCATAGTACAACTTTGTAGTTACATAGCTTTGTTGCACATCCCCAGGGCCTCTAAAACAGTATCAGCAAATCTGTTCCCCAGAAGGAAGACCACCTCTAAAATGTGCTGGTGACCCATGGTCTGAAGGAGCTGGTGTGGACGTTTGCTCTGTCTGGGGTACGCCTCTGATGGCCTGAAAAAACAGAGGAGTGTCATAAATTGGTCCTACATTGCTAAAGATCTCTGTACTGGCTCTTAATAATCATTGCTAAAAATAACTAGTTTCGATTGTTTCCTTCAGCTTTGATATCTTACCTTTCTTTTGACGCCCCCAGTCCCTGTAGTCACAGCCAACTTCTTCCCACATCTGAAGAGTTTCAGAAAGGAAACTACCAAGCCACCGTAGCACTGAGGCAGAACCACAACGAAACCTGGGGCGATGGCAACTGCCTGAATTTCAGCCCTTGTTTTCGTTTGCTACAGTCTTTTTTTGACTGTTGTGGCTTTCAATAGTGGTTTCAAACTTGCTTTTTAAAAATCTCATTTTCTTTCTTTCTTTCTTTCTTTCTTTCTTTCTTTCTTTCTTTCTTTCTTTCTTTCCTTCTTTCCTTCTTTCCTTCTTTCCTTCTTTCTTTCCTTCTTTCCTTCTTTCTTTCTTTCTTTCTTTCCTTCTTTCCTTCTTTCCTTCTTTCTTTCCTTCTTGTAGCTTGAGTTTAGATTAAATATATTGGCAGAGGAGGTAAGACTTGAATCATTTTCATGCACCAGTACTGACAATATCTTTTCCGATATTAATTTTTTTTGAAATATTAACATTCTTAGAAAAGACTGTATCAGAGCATAGTAACAATGAAAACATAGCATAGCATGTTGGAAATACCTGCAACATAATGCAATATCTTTGTATCCCTTTTATCTGAAAATATTTATTTGTTATGAAAGCATGTTAAAGAGTAAAATAACTATTTAAAGCAGGTGCTTACATGTTTCCTATCACAGCTGTACCTGAGCTATCGCATAAGACATCATGCATTGCTGCATTAGACCTGGGAAGCTGGGAAGGTTCCCTAGATGTTGCTCAGCTGTAGATCTGAGGAGCAGAGGGCTAAATGGCCTGCCCAGGAACAGAGAGGGAGCTGGGGACAAAGGAGACAGCAGACTCTCTGTAAGTAGCCCTTTGGGACCCTCTGGGCACAGATTTAAAACCAGCTTAAGATAACCCCAGGAGATGGGGCAGGATGGCAGAAAGCCTGCAACAAGATGCCTGGTGATCTGCCATTGATCTTCAGAGGGCCACCAGAGACCAGAGCTGGGAGAAGAGTTGGGAAAGGCAATTAACCTAAGTGGTCACAGATGTTCTCACTCTGAATCTGCCCTCTGCAGCCTTCAGTGGCGTGGTTTCTGTGGAAACAGAATCTCTTTGCTAAATGGGGCGGCCATCCCTGGCAGGATCTAATTCTCCTGAAGATGTGTTCCACAGCAGCGCAACAAGAGCTTGTCAATGCAAAGAGGTGCAGAGCTGTCCTGCAGCAGCGCACGTTCCCACCCAAACCAAAACAGCCTGTGACCTAGGAATAATTTCAGGGTTTGACCAATAAATGGTTCTGTAACAGCAAGTCTCTAACTGCCCCAAAGGACCCATGTAACCCCCAGTGAGTGGGGGTTAGTTCCAGCGGTCTTTTCTCTCCCCAATTTTAAGGTGACCAAGGAAGGAGAGATTTAAGCTAAACTCCTGACTGCAAGATGTAGGGGGGTGTGTGTGTGAGTGAATTTTTACTTAGGACAACTTTTATTTCAAATTTTTATAATATCTTATTTGATTAAGATACCTTGTTGAGTGGACTGGGTTTCATTTTTTTACTGAGTCATTCTACCACTTTAGGCGCTTAAAATGGCTTGG